CCGCAGGTGATAGGGTCCCGTGGTAGCCAAACGGGGTGCCCGTATCCCCTCCGCGCCCCGTGGGGCGGGTGGGTCCCTGCGGCGAGACGGCCCACTCCACAGGGGACCGCGGCGGCCGAGATGAGCGGGACCGCCAAGCAAGCGAGGCCAAACACGAGTTAAGGGGGTGCACCCCCTCCGCAAAAAGCGCTGCTTAAGCTAAACAGCTGCGGGAGCAGGGAGGACGAGGGGCGACAGAGCACTACGGCCAGGGGGGAATAAAACCGTTTAGGCGCATGCCAAACGAAACCATTTATGTGGGGGTGGAGATGCGGGGGGGATTGATAGCCACCGCAGGTGAGTGCCTATGCAGGTAGGTATTCCTGGCCTTGCCCTGTTAGACCCTAAACCCTAAACCCTAAACCCTAAATTCCCAAGCACCTCGTTGTGCTTCTGCCCACCCCACCGCGCATCACCGTCGCCGTCTACGAGAGACAGGGCATCTCTGAGATGCTTGAGCATGTTGCCCGAGTGGGTCGCCTTGGCAGCTTTTGCTGCTGCCCTCCCCCTCTTTTGGGGATTAGCGCTTCAATGATAAACCTCCCCTGGTCCTCAACGAGTATAACACCCTAAACCTAAAGACCTTTTCCTCGAAGTGACCGGGGACGCCTGGCGCCTGGGAGCGCCTAGGAGCGCCTGGGAGCGCCTGGGAGCGCCTTGGGAGCGCTTGGGAGCGTGCCGGGAGCGCCTGGGAGCGCTTGGGAGCGCCTGGGAGCGCCTGGAAGCGCTTGGGAACGCGCCGAGAGCGCCTGGGAGCGTCTGGGAGCGCTTGGGAGCGCCTGGGAGCGCCTGGAAGCGCTTGGGAGCGCCTGGGAGCGCGAGGGAGCGCCTGGGAGCGCTTGGGAGCGCTTCGGAGCGCGCCGGGAGCGCCTGGGAGGCCGTGGAGCGCCTGGGAGCGCCTGAGAGCGCCTGGGAGCGCCTGGGAGCGCCTGGGAGCGCCAAGGAGCGCCTGGGAGCGCTTGGAACGCATTTGGGAATTTAGGGGCCAGCGGCCCTAAACCCTAAAAGGCTGTAGTTTGGGAGGTTGCCGGCCATGCGGCCGGGGGTGGGAAGATGTTGCACCTCCTGCCCCCTTCGCCAAGCTTGATCGGGTCGGCTAAACGCCCCCCCAATCAAGCATGCCGAAGGGAGGGCAGCCTTGCCTGGACTGTCGGCCGCTGCGCGCCCGAGAAGCCCTAAACCCACCCTAAACCCTAAACCCTAACCCTTAACCCTAACCCTCGCCCTAACCCTAACCGTAAACCCTAAACCCTAAACCCTCAACTCGAATATGCGTCGCTGTCGGGATGCCCCAGACGCATACGAGCCTTGGTCGGAACGTTCAGTGGAGCGCCTGAAGGATCTACGGAAAGGGAGAGGTTAAGCTCGACCGCCCACACGCCACGCCTCAGGCTGGCTACGCCACAGGCTACCTGCGTAGCAGGAAATAAGGACCACAAAGCCGGAACCCATCGCCAGCGAGAGCGCCAGATCCCCCAGGAACCTAGGAAAACCTAGGAAAACGCTGCCAGGGGCTCTCCAGGCGCTCCCAGCGCGCCTGGGCGCGCTCCCAGGCGCTCCCCAGGCGCTCCCACGCGTCCCAGAGGCTCCCCAAGCGCTCCCAGGGGGTCCCCAGCGCGGGATCCTCGCGCGCGCGCGAGCCGCGGAGCGTCCGGCGAACTGGTCCCCGTTGTCGTGGCGCAACATGATGTCCTCTGAGATTGAAGCATACGCGTAATTTTACCCCAGTCGCGATATGCGTTCGCCAGCGCGCCTGCGCACCGAAAAAGAGCGCGCAAGCGCGGTTCTGGCATCGCTAACGTAATTCAGAGATAAGGAATACACTCGACGGCTGGACGGCCGGCCGGCTGACGCACGCGACGCGCTGCCTGGTGCGTCGCATCGAGGGGGCGCCAGGCCCGCCCCCTCGAGCTTCCCCTCCCACCATCCGAGACAAAGCGCTGCGCGCGCGCCACCGCGCAAAATCGCTCCTGCGAGAATCGGAAAAGGTCGCTCTGTCGGGCGTCCCCCAACGCGCGAACGAACCCCGGAGACTCTAGGACGACGTGGTGTCAGCGCGGGAACCTCGCGCGCGCGCGAGCCGCGGAGCGTCCGGCGAGCTGGTCCCCTTTGTCGTGGCCCACCATGATCGCTTGATTTAGGCATCTGCGTAAGTTTACTTCAATCGCCATATGCGCTCGCCAGCGCGCCTGGGCATCGAACAAGAGCGCGCAGGCGCGGATCTGGCGTCGCCAGCGTAACATGGGCCACAAGGTACGACACCTCGTTGGCCGGCAAACCGCTGCGCGTGCGCCACCGCGCAGAACCGCTCCTGCGAGAGTCGGAAGAGATCGCCCGGTCGGGCGTTCCCCAACGCGCGAACTAAACCTGGAGGATGTTTCCCAATGCGTTACAGCGCCTGCGCGTTCTCAGGTAGGACGACGTGGTGTTCGACACCCCCATGAGTGGGGCTGGGGGGAAGAACTCTCTGTGTCCCTAAACCCTAAAAGAGAATAGCCGGGGTGGATTGGGGCGGGAGGACAAGCAACGCGAGCGCGCACACAGCATCCCACCCCCAACAATCTGGATGTGGGGGTGGGATGCGTGCGCGCGCCCACACCGCTTGGCGGGCAACACCCTAAGCCCTAAACCTTAAACTGCAAGCCACGGGCGGTGCATCGTCAGAAGCCCGTGGCGCCTGGCCGAGCGCTCAGCGAGCCTGCCCATTCCACGTACGTGGCACCGACGAAGCGGCGAGAGCCGCTGAGGAGGAATTCGCACGCCGCGCGTATGCAGCTCCGCTGGTTCGACTAATGAAAAGAACCCTTAACCTCAGACCCCAGCCGTTGGGTCCGCTGCGATCGGTGCCATCCCCCTGGGGCTCCAAACCTATAAAAATACAGCATGCGGGGCCCTTTCGGCCGTCCGTGGGGACGCACACCTTATGAAAATACAACATGCGGCGCCTTTTCGGTCGTCCACGGCGCCCGCACGCTTCCAGACGCTCCCAGGAGCTCCCAAAGAGATCCCCAAGCGCTCGCGGCACGCTCCCAAGCGCTCGCGGCACGCTCCGAAGTGCTCCCAGGCGCTCCAAGGCGCTCCCTGCGCGCTCCCAAGCGCTTCCAGGCGCTACGAAGACCAAGCGCTCACAGGCGCTCCCAAGCGCTCCAGGCACGCTCCCGCAAGCGCACCCACGCGCCCCCAGGAGCTCCCAGGCGCTCCCGGCGCGCTCCCAGGCGCTCCCACGCGCTCCCAGGCGATCCCCGGCGCTCCAAGGAGCTCCCAGGCGCTCCCAGGCGTTCCCGGTAGCTCCCAAGCGCTCCACGGGTGCTCCAAGGCGCGCCCGGCGCGCTCCCAAGTGTTCCCAAGCGTTTTCCGTACGCTCCCAAGCGCTCCCAGGCTCCCAGGCGCTCCCAGGCGTTCCCAGGCGCTCCCAGGCGCTCCCAGGCGTCCAAGCATTCCCACGCGCTCTGCAGTGCCCACAAGCGCTAGGAGGCGCCACGCAGCGTTTCAGCGGAACGCGTGAAAATACGCTTCGAGCGACCTCCAGGGCTTACTGGAGAATGCCTCGGAGACACCCCAGGCGCGTCCAGGTGCCCCAAGACGATCTCCAACGCTGCCGCGCCGTCTCAGGGACGTACGCTTGCGCCTACGGCGGCCTCGGAGCTTCCTGGGGATGCTTCCAACGCTTTCCCAGACGTCCCCAACGGTATTCCACGCGGCCCCCGGCGCGTACATGAGAACAGCTGCGCTTCTCTAGCGCTTTCCGGAGGCGCCGCGAATCGTGGTACAGTTACAGAGGTCGAGCAAAGCTGCGCCGCTCCAGTGGCATCCGAGTACCCCTATCGCCTCTTCGAGACGCGCCACCAAGCAATACCTGCTCGTGCAACGCGCGCTCACGACGTGCCCACGCTCCTGCGCTGTCTCAGAGGCGTCCGACTGCGCATACGGCGGCCTTTGAACCTCCTGGGGCCGCTGTCACCGCCTCCCCGACGATCCCAACAGTATTCCACGCGGCCCCCGGCGCATGCGAGAGAACAGCTGCGCCTCTCCGACGCTTTCCGGAGACGCCGCGGATCGTGATACAATCAATTGCAGAGATCGACCACAGCTTCGCCTCTCCCATGGCATCCGAGTGCCTCTATCGGCTCTCCGAGACGCGCAACCTGTCATTTTCTGCCCGTGCCGCGCGCGCTCACGACGGGCCAAACTCGCGAGGGGGTGCCAGACCCACCCCCTCGCGCTCCCCCTCCCCCCGACACGAATCTTTGCGGCTCCCAGCTGCGTGCGCTGCACTTCTAGCATTCATGCATCCTCCGAGTGCCGAACGCGCGTGCGACGTATGCGACGCCGCCCGCGCTCTCCTGCTCGCGCCATGCTCAGGCTGGTGTCATACACACACACACACACAAGCAGTGTTCACCGACACCGCCCGCGCTCGTGCTCGCGCCATGCTCATGCGAGTGCCATGCATACACAAGCAGTGTGCATACCTCTGCTGCGCTCTTGCACGTGGCGCACACGGTCACCACGCGTGCGTTATACATGCGAATGCGCACGCGCCCGCGCTCATACCCACGCTCGCGCTGAACATCCGACGCATCAACGCATGAAAGTTTCTGAACGCATTGGCACGAACCGCTTCGCAGTCGCTGCCTGCCCTCAAGCAGTACACGGTATACCGATGCTGACACAAAGAGCTTCGGGCCTCGGGGCAAGAGCGAGCATCCGCGCTCCGCCGAGCCACGATGTAATCACAGAGCGCTGCTGCCGCCACATCATGCAAACGCTGGAGTGAAGCTGCTGCGCTCTACATGGCCCCCAATCATATAATCATCCGAGGTGGCCACGCGGCTGAGCGCAGTATATCCGGCAGCTGGCCTCGGCCATCTGTCTAAGTATATTGTGATATGCGCAAACTCATCGCCCTGGACCTGATCTATCGTGCTAGCGTATCCTAAACGAATTGGAAAATATACCGCATTATCCTTCTCGCGATCACTCCAGCGGAAAATAGCGAGGCGGTGCCCCGTCTTTGTCCTCACGCGCAGGACGTCTTCGGCCTCGTGGTAGTTCTCGACCACGCATAACATACCATTCACGAAATCATCCTCTTTGCGAACGTTCTTCGTGAGGTATATCTGCATGCCCTTGTACACCGGCACAGCGCTCGGCAGGGGGCGGCGATCGGTGCGGAACTGCCCATGCTCGTAGTTCTCTGGGTTCAGTTCCACGTCGCCTGGAAGGACTGCCAGCGGGGACTTGCGACCATACAGAGCCTTCACTGCAGCTTCGTTCACCGCATTCGCTCCCTTCCTGGTACACGTGACGACGGTCGTCTCCGGGTGCGCCTCGTAGAGCTTCTTCAGATCCGTCGGCGATGGATCGCCCATCTTCCAAGCTTTGTGCCCCCGACAGATCTTCGCCAACGTCTCCTGCGACGGCTTCGCCGTGCGGATCTCGTCGAGGATCTTTTGAAAGCGCTCCTCCTTGCATCTCCACGCATCGTGCAGCTTCACGTGATAGCACGCTGGCCGTGACCAGGCGGCGCTCTCCCACGCGCGCGTCTCCCCGACGCCAGGAAGCTGATACTTGTCGCCCAGGAACACGAGCGCCGGGACCTTCTCTGCGACGCTCCACAACTTCACCATGCGGTCAAACTGCGGACAGTTCAGGAGCGACACCTCATCCACGACGACCAGGTCGTACATGGTCATCAGCGGCAAGGACTCCGTGACCGGCTCGTTCAGCTTGAACGCTGCGTGACACGTAACCACCTCCACGCCGTGCATGTCGTTGAGCGCGCCCCGCATGCGGCTCGCGAGCTGTGCCGTCGGGAGCGCGAAGAGCACTCGGGCGCCATTGTCCTGGGCACGCATGATGCAAGCCTTCACCACGGTGGTCTTCCCCGTGCCTGGTTTGCCGAGGCAGATGATGGGCTTCCCCTTCTGCCATGCCTCCTCGCGCGCCTCGTCCGCGTCCTCCCAATCATCCGAGTGGTTCGCCCTGAGCGCACGGTCGACGCTCTCGTCGACCGCGGACTCGAACTGGAGCTGCTGCTGGTTGCACCTCACGTCCGCCGCTCCCTCCGCGTCGTCTCGCGGACGTCTGCGATTCCCATCCGCGGCCGCCTCCGCCGCCGCCGCAGCGCTCTCGTCGCTCTTGTCAAGAACACCCGCCAGATACATATTAATGAGCTTCCTCTGCGCCACGACCATGCTCAGAACGTTCTCGCTGAACTTCGTCGACTTCGCGGACGCCTTCATGTAGTCCACGAGAAGCTTGTCGTTGGTGAACAGGTCGCGATGCTCTGCGGCGACGCGACTTTGGTCCGAGCACAGCCGCAGCGCCGACGCCAGGTAGCGATACTTCCCGGGAACACGCTGTTCTATGTCTTCGAATACGAACTCGTCCAGCGAACGGAACGGCACGTTCATGGCCGCCCACTGACCGTAGTAGCGGTCATTCAGCTCGTACACGGTCTCGACGCTGACGACTTTCTCGCCCTGCATCGGTGCGCCCGCGCGAACTGCTCCAACTCGGGGAGTTCCACCTCGTCGTCGCTCTTGTCCTGCTTATACCTCGCGGCGAGATACTCCATGAATGTCATCGGCGCCTCATCGCTGTTCGGCTCGTCCTTGAACGCGGCGCGGAGGCTGCGCCAGTAAGCGTCGAGCGTCAGCGGCTCCTCCCCGTCGTCTAGCGTCTCCTTGTACCTGCGGTAGGGTGCCAGCATGAGCTCCTGCTTGTGCTTGCGAACCAGCCAACCCGCGATGTCCCCGTCGTCGTTGGTCTTGCGCAACCACTCCAGCAGAGCCATTCCGTCGTGGCGCCACGCGCACTCGGCGTACTTCTGCACCCACTCCGGCACCACTGACATGCCCGCGTAGGGCGCCGACACGGTGCGGAACCCGCCACTGGCCGTCGAGATGTCGTACTGCCGGAACTGGGCTCCGCACAGCTGCAAAATCATCTCCAGCTCGTACGGATGATATTCGAAGCACACGCGCCGCGCCACGCTGTCCGCGGAGGCGCTGTCGCTCATCCACTCGTCGTAGCTGCTGTCGGAGAACTTTGCGACGTACTTCGAGACATACTGCAAGAGCATGGCCTCGCCGTCGCTCTTGAGCCAGTCCTGGTGGCACGGCTGCCCATCCATGACGTCTGCACAGAACGCCCTCATGCCCGCGTCGTGGTCCTGCTCTGTGTGCTTCAACTCCAGGATGCCGTCGTCATTGTGAACTCCCGACGGGCCGTGGTAGATCGGCCACTTGCTCTCACCACCGCCGTGCCTGTCCATCTGTGAGCCATCCACGTAACCCTTCAGGTGATCCGAGAAGTCGTCGGGCTTCGTCGCGAACAGATGATGCTCGAGCCCCATGTCCGCCATCGCCTCGGCATCCGCGAAGAACAGCACGTGCAAGTGAGGCCGGCCAGAACCGCCATACCGTTTCGTGCCCTCCTTCCGGCTCCCGTCTTGGAACTCCAAGCGCGTGAAGGACTGCACGCGCACCTGCCTGCCATCTGCATCCTTGGCGGAGAACACGTGCTTCGTCCAGGACTTGCTCGCCTTGTCCATCTTTTGCTGATTCTTGCCCGCGAGAAGACCACGGACAATCTCCATGAGCACGTGCGCGATGTGCAGCGTCTCTCCCACTGGCAGATACATGCGGGTCCTCAGAGTCTTCTCCATCTCATCCCGCAACCAGTCGTGGTACCTGAACGCTGGCTCCCACGGCGCAATGGTGAAGAACAGCTTGGGGAACCCGATCTGGCGGACAAGGTCCACGAGCCCGTTGTGAACCTCCTTCCAGAACAGAGGTGAGAAGGTATGGCCCTTCATGAGCACTCGCATGGGGACGTTGTCCAGACCCTGGTTCTTCTTCCCGCCGAGCGTGGCCCAAAGGTTCAAGTCGTACACGAACTGCAACAGTTCGAAATTGGACCCGTACCCCAGGAGTGGTGATAAACATTTCGTGATGAAGGACCGCTTGACGCTCGTGCGCTCGCTGATCTCCTGGTCGGCGCCGCCCTCGTCTTCGTCGGAGTCGTCGCTGCGGTAGCCGTACTCCGGCTTCTTCTTCTTCGCCACTTGCGCCTGTCGTCTGTCTTCGCGACGCGCATCCGACCACTGCTCCTTAGTCTCCGTCATCTCCGTGCACCAGTACAGGTGTGGCCACAGCGCGCACTCCAGCCCGACCTCCTGCAAGAAGTGGCACGGCCGCTTGCGCTTCCTATCCGCGGCATCTTCGCCGTTCTTGCGGAAGAACTTCTCATGCATGTCGTAGAAATACTTGCACGAGGACTCCTCGCATGACAGCAGGTACTCCAGCGCCCTCTTCGCCCTGTGGCGCATCTCCCTGTCCTCGATCTCCTTGATCTTGTCGCGCACATTCCAGCGAGAGAAGTAAAAGGCGATCATCTTCACCTTCTTCCGATACCCGTTCGGCCGCCCGAACTTGTCGGTGGGCCGCGTCTCGGGGCCGACATCAATCTCAATGGGCCTCAGCGCCTCGACGGCCTCCTCGGAGAGCCCGCGCAGCTTCTTCGGCACCTGCTCCGGCAGCGGCACGAACATCTTGCGGCAGGCGTTGCACCGACGGCAAGCGCTGTTCGAGATCTCCTCGCTGGCGTCCCGGAACATGTCGACCTCGTGCATCGGGCGCGGCTGCAGGACGCTGCACTCCTTGCACATCCCCCAGGAGCCGCGCAGAGCCCAGGACTCCAACCCCTTGGAGAGATCGCTGAAACTCGCTGCCTCCAGCGGCGGGCCCAACTCCTCTCCCTCGGGGATCTCGTCGGCGCGCCCGCGGACTCTCCTCTCGGCCTTGTCCTTGAAGAACGAGTTCTCCACCTTCTTGTGGTTCTCCGGGGTGAGTCTGCGGAACTTCTTCCGCGCCTCCTTGTCGTCCGCTGGATTCTGCATCTGCAGAGCGCGCCTCTTGAGCTTCTCTGGCCAATCGGTCTTCCCGCTGCGCCTCCGGGCTCTCTGAGCGCGGGCCGCCTGCTGATTCTGGCGAACCGTCTTCTTCCGCATCTGCGCCACGTAGTCGTCTCCGAACACCTCCTTCAGGATACTCTCAGCTCGAGTGAACACGGCCTGGTCCTTCTCGCGGAAGACCTCCAACTGCTTCAGCAAGCCATGGCGACACGTTCCCTGCATGCCCAGCAGCCTTTGCGGATCGCACCAGCTGCACAAGTGCTTGTCCTTCTTCACAACCCGCGCTGGCTGCCCAGGCCTCACCGTGCTGAACGGGCACGCGTGCTCTCCCGCCCCGCGGCAGCAATGGTGTGGAGTTACAAGATCTTTGTAGTCATGCAGCGTCAGGTGCCTGCGGAGCCTCCCGAGCGCTTTCGCATGGAGAGCCGCGCTCGCCTGCTTGAATTTGTTCAGGTCGGCCATGACGTTCTTCTTCTTCTTCATGGGATTCTGCGCCGCCTCCTTCATGCGCGCAGGCGTGCAGAACACGCAATGACCGCCCGCGGCAAAGGCACGCTCGCCGGGCTCCGCCCTGGAGAAAGCGCACACGCCGCAGTCGCCTTTGCCTTTGAGCTTGCGCCCCATGGCGCGCCCGAGAACGTACCCCTCGCACAAGCGCTGTCCTTGGCGCTCCACAGCAGGCGGCGGTGGCGGCGGCTCCGCTGCGTCCAGCGCGCCGCCGGGCGCCTCCTCGGCAAGCTCCATGACGACGTCGCCCTGGTCATCCACCGGATCCTGCGCTGGCGCCGCGGCCTGCTGGTTCTTCGCGACGATCTCCTTGGCACGGGAGATGAGCTCGTCTCCGCCCTCGCACATGGCCACCCTCTCCACGGCGATATCGTAGATGCCCGCGTCGAGCTTCTGAAGATTCGCCAGGCTGTGAGACGCCAGCTTGGAAAGCCGCTGCGTCTTGCAAATTGTCTGCATGCGCACTGGCGAACACCACTGGCCTTGCCCGTTGTACTTCGCCTGCGCGTGCTTGCCGGCGTCCCACGGGCTGAAGCAGCACTCCATCACGGCGCCGTCCCCCATGACAAATCCCTCGCAGCGACGCGGCCCCATGGTGAGACTGCGCGACAAGTACCAATGTCAAGAAACTGCACAGACTGATGGCGGCGGGTGCGCCTGCCAGACAATCGGGGAGCGTTGCAGATCCCTCCTGAGCCCAGATGGCAAAGGCGGCGTGCCAGAGCACATGCTCCAGCATTTCTATGCGTCATCCCGCGATGCATCGCCGCTGCGTCGAGAGCCGCCTCAGGAGCGCAACCAGCATTCCACCATCTACCGCGGGCCATTGAGGCGCATCGCCACTGCATCGTGCATCCGGAAGAGGCCGCTGCCTGCTGCGCCTTTCAGGAAAGTAAGCGCCGCGACTCCAATACGAATGTTCCGACAATGTTCTTCTATGCGGGATTGCACCACATGCCTCCACCGCGACATGCTGGGACGCATCGCCAATGCATCTCGCACCCAAAGCTCGCAAATTGCATCCGCGCTCTCCTGCATTCGCTCACAGACATTCGAACAACGGAGATAATCCTGCATGCCCGACGCCTGCCGTTGAGAACTGCGCCGCCCATGCATCTACCCATCCATTTGACACACTCCCTGGTCCGAATGACTACTGCAGCACATCGCCAATACATCTGTCTCCGCTGTCCTCTGCGAAAGATGTGTTCGAACATGTTCCCTAGGCCTGTGCGCGAGCAACTTGTCCCTGGCAGCGCATGTTCATGTAAACTGTGTGCGAGGGGGAGCCAGACCCTCCCCCTCGCTCTCCCCCTTCCAACCTGCGAACACGTGCGCGTATCATGCCATAAAACATACTCTCCAACACTGCCCGTGCGTCGCCTCTCCTCTCCCGAGTCTGTGAATGGCCACAGCTGTGTGCAACTTCTCTTGCTCACGCTACATCGCCTAGGGCAGAACCCTGCGACGACCGAAACAACGCCAATGCCTTCGGAGTTTGCCGCGGCCGCAGCGGGCGCGGGGGCGAGGCCGAAGGCGCCGTCTGTGGCGTTCTTCAAAGATAGCTCGGAGATAGCGCCGACGGTGGCGTCCTTCAAAAATAGCTCGGAGATAGCGCTGACGAGCGCCCGAGGCACGCCTGGCGTGGGTTGCGGCCGCAGCGGGCGCAAAGGCTACACCGAAGACGCCGACTGTGGCGTCCTTCACAGATAGCTCGGAGATAGCGCTCACGAGCGCCCGAGGCACGCCTGGCGTGGGTTGCGGCCGCAGCGGGCGCAAAGGCTACAGCGAAAGCGCCGACTGTGGCTTCCTCCAAAGATAGCTCGGAGATAGCGCTCACGAGCGCCCGAGGCACGCCTGGCGCGGGCGGCGGCCGCAGCGGGCGCAAAGGCTACAGCGAAGGCGCCGACTGCGGCGTCCTTTAAAGATAGCTCGGAGATGGCGCTCACAAGCGCCCGAGGCGCGCCTGGCGTGGGCGGCGGCCACAGCGGCCGCAAAGGCTACAGCGAAGGCGCCGACTGTGGCGTCCTTCAAAGATAGCTCGGAGATAGCGCTCACGAGCGCCCGAGGCACGCCTGGCGTGGGCGGCGGCCGCAGCGGGCGCAAAGGCTACAGCGAAGGCGCCGACTGTGGCGTCCTTCAAAGATAGCTCGGAGATAGCGCTCACGAGCGCCCGAGGCACGCCTGGCGTGGGCGGCGGCCGCAGCGGGCGCAAAGGCTACAGCGAAGGCGCCGACTGTGGCGTCCTTCAAAGATAGCCCGGAGATAGCGCTCACGAGCGCCCGAGGCACGCCTGGCGTGGGCGGCGGCCGCAGCGGCCGCAAAGGCTACAGCGAAGGCGCCGACTGTGGCGTCCTTCAAAAATAGCTCGGAGACAGCGCTCACGAGCGCCCGAGGCACGCCTGGCGTGGGCGGCGGCCGCAGCGGGCGCAAAGGCTACAGCGAAGGCGCCGACTGTGGCGTCCTTCAAAGATAGCTCGGAGATAGCGCTCACGAGCGCCCGAGGCACGCCTGGCGTGGGCGGCGGCCGCAGCGGGCGCAAAGGCTACAGCGAAGGCGCCGACTGTGGCGTCCTTCAAAGATAGCTCGGAGATAGCGCTCACGAGCGCCCGGGCACGCCTGGCAGCGGGCGCAAAGATACAGCTCGTCCTTCAAAGATAGCTCGGAGATAGCGCTCACGAGCGCCCGAGGCACGCCTGGCGTGGGCCGCGGCCGCAGCGGGCGCAAAGGCTACAGCGAAGGCGCCGACTGTGGCGTCCTTCAAAGATAGCTCGGAGATAGCGCTCACGAGCGCCCGAGGCACGCCTGGCGTGGGCGGCGGCCGCAGCGGGCGCAAAGGCTACAGCGAAGGCGCCGACTGTGGCGTCCTTCAAAGATAGCTCGGAGATAGCGCTCACGAGCGCCCGAGGCACGCCTGGCGTGGGCCGCGGCCGCAGCGGGCGTAAAGGCTACAGCGAAAGGCGCCGACTGTGGCGTCCTTCAAAGATAGCTCGGAGATAGCGCTCACGAGCGCCCGAGGCACGCCTGGCGTGGGCGGCGGCCGCAGCGGCCGCAAAGGCTACAGCGAAGGCGCCGACTGTGGCGTCCTTCGAAGATAGCTCGGAGATAGCGCTCACGAGCGCCCGCGGCACGCCTGGCGTGGGCGGCGGCCGCAGCGGGCGCAAAGGCTACAGCGAAGGCGCCGACTGTGGCGTCCTTCAAAGATAGCTCGGAGATAGCGCTCACGAGCGCCCGAGGCACGCCTGGCGTGGGCGGCGGCCGCAGCGGGCGCAAAGGCTACAGCGAAGGCGCCGACTGTGGCGTCCTTCAAAGATAGCTCGGAGATAGCGCTCACGAGCGCCCGAGGCACGCCTGGCGTGGGCGGCGGCCGTAGCGAGCGCAAAGGCTACAGCGAAGGCGCCGTCTGTGGCGCCCTTCAAAGATAGCTCGGACATAGCGCCCAGAGGGCGCCAGGCGCCGCGCCAGGCGTGGGCCGCGGCCGCAGCGGGCGCGGGGCCGAGGCCGAAGGCGCCGTCTGTGGCGTCCTTCAAAGATAGCTCGGAGATAGCGCCCAGGAGTGCGCCAGGCGCCAAGCGGGGCGTGGGCCGCGGTCGCAGCGGGCGCGGGGGCGAGGCCGAAGGCGCCGTCTGTGGCGCCCTTCAAAGATAGCTCGGACATCGCGCCCAGAGGGCGCCAGGCGCCACGCGGGGCATGGGCCGCGGCCGCAGCGGGCGCGGGGGCGAAGCCGAAGACGCCGTCTGTGGCGCCCTTCAAAGATAGCTCGGCCATAGCGCCAGGAGGGCGCCAGGCGCCACGCTGGGCGTGAGCCGCGGCCGCAGCGGGCGCGGGGGCAAGGCCGAAGGCGCCGTCTGTGGCGCCCTTCAAAGATAGCTCGGACATAGCGCCCAGAGGGCGCCAGGCGCCAAGCGGGGCGTGGGCCGCGGCCGCAGCGGGCGCAGGGGCGAGGCCGAAGGCGCCGTCTGTGGCGCCCTTCAAAGATAGCTCGGAGATACCGCCCACGAGAACGCCAGGCGCCACGCCGAGCATGGGCCGCGGCCGCAGCGGGCGCGGGGGCGAGGCCGAAGGCGCCGTCTGTGGCGCCCTCCAAAGATAGCTCGGAGATAGCGCCCAGGGTGCGCCAGGCGCCACGCCGGGCGTGGGCCGCGGCCGCAGCGGGCGCAGGAGCGAGGCCGACCCTGGCTTCCACAGAGACCCCCCTAGGCATTTCAGGGGGTCTGCCGTGGAGGTGCTGCCGCAGCCATGCGCGCGCATCGTAGCGAGAGGGTCCCAGACCCACCCCCTCGCGCTTCCCCTCCCGCCTTCCGAAGCTCGCGCCGAAAGCGTCTGCGTCGATGATTGCAATCGCTTCAGCGGGGGCGACCCCAAAGGCGAAACCCAAAGCCGCGGGCGAATGCAACTGCCGTGCGCGTCGCCGTCAGCGAGGAGCCCGACGGCGCAGCCACTCGCTTGAGGCGCAGGGGAACCCATAGGATTGTCACGCCAGCGCCCTTGCAGTGCTGCTTTCCAATGCCGACGGCAAATGGCGGACCCCTGTGGATCTGCTGCGCCAGCGGCAGCCCAACAGCGAAGCTCCACACAGAAAACGCAAACGGCTGCCTCATCGACGAGGCGAGCTGGCGCGCCAGCGCCATGCACCCTGCGCGCGCGTTCGCATGGGCGCGCATTGCCACGGCCGCGGCCGCGCGCGCGCTTCCCAGCATTCGCAGCCCAGTGACACAACCCAGTGCCGACAGCAAAAGCGACAACACATGGGCATGCTGCGCCAGCGGTAGCCTAGCGGCGAAGCTAATCGCCGCCATCGCCAACGGCTGTCTTTTCGACGGGACAACGAGCCGAAGCGCCGCCTACGCCACGCGCCCTGCGCGCGTGCTCACGTGGATGCGCAGTGCCACGGCCGCGTCGGCGATCGCCTGCGCGCGCCACTTCGACAGCCCCCCGTGATAGGGGGGTGGGGGGGAGAAACCCTAAACCCTAAAAGGCTTCACTCTGGGTGGTCTGGGGCGGGAGTGCGACTAACCGTGGCGCGCGCGGCTTGGGCAGCGATCCCCCCAAACAACCTTGATGTGGGGGGGATCGCAGCCAGCGCGCGCTTGCGCCAATGCCCTAAACCCTAAATTCCCAAGCACCTCGTTGTGCTTCTGCCCACCCCACCGCGCATCACCGTCGCCGTCTACGAGAGACAGGGCATCTCTGAGATGCTTGAGCATGTAGCCCGAGTGGTTCGCCTTGGCAGCTTTTGCTGCTGCCCTCCCCCTCTTTTGGGGATTCACGCTTCAATGATAAACCTCCCATGGTCCTCAACGAATATAACACCATAAACCCAAAGAGCGCTTGGGAGCGCCTGGGAGCGCCTGGGCGCGCCTGGGAGCGCCTGGGAGCGCCAGGAAGCGCCTGGGAGCGCCTGGGAGCGCCAGGGAGCGCCTGGGAGCGTCTGGGAGCGCCTGGGAGCGCCTGGGAGCGCCTGGTAGCGCGCCTGGGAGCGTGCCGGGAGCGCTTGGGAACGCCTGGAAGCGCTTGGAAGCGCTTGGGAGCGCTTGCAAACGCGCTGGGAGCGCCTGGAAACG